AGATAAGCACTTGCCTGGCAAGTGCAAGAGCTTGAGTTCAATCCCTGGTTCTGAAAAAAAAAAAAAAAGATTTATTTGTTTATTTATTTGCTACAGGGTCTCTCTATGCAACTTGGACTCATAGTGATCCTCCTGTCTCAGCCTCTCCAGTGCTGGATTACAGGCTTACGCCACCATGCCTGGTTTCAGTGGCTGGCACGGCATGCAGTACCATGGATCAAATCCAGGTCCTTGAGCTTGCCAGGTAGGCGCTTAGACCACTGAGCTATCTCCCCAGCCCAAGCCTGGGAATTTTATTAATTTAAACAAACCGTCTCAAAGTTAAAAAAAAAAAAGTACAAAAAAACCAAAATGACAAAAAGGGCTATGGACATAGTTTAATGCAAAGGCCCTGGGCTCAATTCCCAGTATTGCAAATATTTTTTGGGGGGGTTCTTTTTGAGATAGGGTCTTGCTATGCTGTTCAGGCTAGCCTTGAGCTCACTTTGTAGCCCAGGCTGGTCTTGAACTCATAATGATCTGCCTGCCTCAGCCTTCCGAGTGCTGGAATTACAGGAGTGTGCCACCAAGCCTGACTTGCAAATAAATTAATAAATATATAACGAGGGCTAGAATTCCAATTCTATGGGAGACTAAGGCAGGAAGATCATGAGTGTGAGTCCAGCCTGGACAATTTAGCTCTTTAGCTAGATCCTGTTCTTGGGATGAGTGGGGAGGGAGCGTGGCTCAGTACTGAAGGCCCTGACCTCAGTTATCACTACCAAAAAATAAAAATCTGAGAGCTGGGGCTGTAGCTCAGTGCCAGAGCCCTTACCTAGCACCCAGAAGGCCCTGGATTTCACCCTCAGCTCCAGAAGACAGCAAACAAACAGCAGCAGCCTCAGTCTACCTCCACATACCAAAGATTGACAACAAAATTAAAACAGAAATTTAAGGACTTTTAAAAAACTACAGAAAAAAAAAACAACTACAGAATAATTTCTTGTTAATATAGTTTTCTTGTCTTTTTTTGGGAGGGGGTCTTTTTGAGACAGGGTCTCACTATGCAGCTCAGGCTGGCCTTGAGTTCACTTTGTAGCCCAGGTGGGTCTCAAACTCAGAGCAATCCTCCTACCTCAGCCTCCTGAGTGCTGGGATTACAGGCATGTGACACCAGCCTGGCAAATTCTAAGTTTTAATAAACTTAACCATATTCCGAAAAAAATCCTTGAGGAAGAGGATATAGTTTTATTTTCTGGTTGACAGTGATGGGGCAGATCCCATCATGGCTTCCCAGGGCCAAGCACCAACTCTGCCTTGAGGTGTGCCCCAGCCCCCGTTGCACACTAAGTGAGTATTTCACTTTCTTGCCAGGCCGCTGGGAAGACAGCTGCCTCCTTAGCTCAGCATCTGGAATCTGTCTGGGCAGTGTCACTCTGACTGCACTGTGTCCCCAGGAGATAAAAGTGGGGAAAAGGCAGGTATGTGTCCTACCTGGAATGATAAGAATTTTGACCTCCCGAGAGGGCAGAGGAACCCCCCAGGGTTCAAGGACCTCATTTTAAGAATCACCCCCAGGCCGGATCCTCTAAGTGCCAGAGGCCCACTCGGGGAACAGAATTCCTTTAGGGCCAGGTGACCTTAGGGGTGAGGTCAAATAGCCTTGATTTCTCCCTGAAAGGGGACGGTGCTTAGGAAATATTCCAAGCTCATCCTCGAGGGGCCCAGAGGCTTGGTACCTGGCTCAGCTCTGAACAAACAGATGCTATCAGAGTTTGGGAAACATTTTATTTTCTTACCAACATTGTCCACGCAAAGCGTTTCTCCCGAGGGATGTCGCGCTGCGCCGTGACACCGCACTCTGTCCTCCCAGGCGGCTGGGCAGCCGAGTTTAACGGGTCAGGGGTGCCTTCAGCATCAGGTCCCCACGGTGCCCGCGTCCCCGCTGGCTGAGAAGGCAGGGACAGGCTGTCCAGGCACAGGGACGGCGCGCGGGCCTGGCCCACAGCTCTGCAAAGCCACCGTGCGGGGTCGGCGTCGCTGCGCGGCGGCTGACAACAGGCGTGCACATCTGGCCCTTTCCTTTGCGCCCCAGTTGCTTGTTCGGTCCCTGTGCTGTGGGTGGCTGCCCATGTCCGATCCAGCCTTCTCTGTCCTGCTGCAGACTCTGCTGCGAGACGCTCGGCCTGTGCCGTGGAGCTTGGGGTCCCCGCAGCGCACGTGCCATGGGTCGCGGGGTCGCGCCCAGGTGCCCGCACTGTCCGCATCCGGGGGCCCGGGCGGGGTGACTCAGCCCCCGGCGGCGCCCGCGTCATCCCGGCCGCCGGGCTTCGCTATTTCGGGCTCCGGGCGCTATAAATAGAGGCCGGCAGGCCGCCCCACGCCCCGGCCCCCCGCGTCCCGGCCCGCAGCGATCGCCGCGCCGCGCGTCACGCATCTAAGTTTAGAGGGAAGGGGGCTCGGCCAGGTCACCGCGTCCCCCAGCCGCGCCCCCGTTTCTCTGTCCTCTGCCTATCCCCGAGCCCCTCGCTCGGACTCAGAGAGGAAACCCGAGATCGTCTTTCTGGGACGCAGGGGGCGCCGGACGCTGGGACGGGAGCAAGCGCGGGAGGGCCTCGGGCAGAGGTCCGGCTTGCAAAGGGGACTGGGAACTCGGGGTGTCCAGGCCCGGGGCGCACGTGCGAGTGTGGATGTGGGGCGCAACGGAACTCTCCCTGAAGGCAGATTTGGGGATCGAAGGCTCAGTGGTGGAATTTAGCGTGGGAATCAATTTGGGAGTGGGTGGGCGTGGTCGTGCACTCCTGTAACCCTAGGATTTGGTAGGCTGAAGCAGGAGGGTCGCCGCGAATTGGACTCCAGCCTGGGATACATAGTGAGTTCAAGACCAGCTAAAACTCCGCAGAGAGACCCAGTCTCAACAAGCAGGCAAGTGAGCGACCAAATGGGAGTAACCCAGGAACGAAGGCAAATTCTCCCCCGCCTTTAAGTATACAAACTGACTCAGTGACATTAGCTGCATGAGATGGGGTCTGTCGCGACGGGGGAAAAGGGTGTGAAAGGGGAACAGCCTGCAGCTGCCTTTTCCAGCTCTCATCTGCCTGGCAGTTGTGTTTTGCAGTCCCCTATCCTCCTGAGGGACGCCAGCGCCCCCTCGCGGGAGTTTCAGGTTTAAGGCTGGCAATTTCACGCCAACCTGAGTCACACACTCTAGCTGGGGAGAATATATATAATATTCTATTGTATGTTATATATATTTTCTACTATATATTGTATATTATATAATATAATAGAGCTATACATAAATGAGAATATATATATATATATATATATATATATATATTTCGCCTACCAAGTATAGTTTTATTAACCTATTTGGAAGGCTGAGACAGGAGGATCCACAAGTTTGTGATCAACCCCGGCAATTTAGTGAGGACTCCACCTCAAAATAAAATTTTTTTAAAGGCTTCAGTGAGGGGCCTGGGATATAGCTCAGCTGTATCCTGCCTGGCAAGTGCAACATCCTGAGTTTGATTCCCTGTACAAAAAAAAAAAAAAAAAGGTGGGGGGTTTTAGCTCAGTGGTAGAGTGCTTCCCTGGCGTGTAGGAGGCTCTGGACTCTAACCCCAGGACCAGGCAGAGAGAGCGAAAGGAATTTTCAGATGACCAAGATACTCATAAACACCCAAAAGATTAGTGGAGAAGAGAGCTTGATATGGCTTAGTGGTAGAACACTTAAGTTTGAAGCCTTGAATTCAATCACCAGCACTGCAAAAAAGAAAGAAGAATAGAAATAGAGAATTATATGAGTTGAATCATGCCCCCTGCCCACAAAGATATGCTAAAGCTGTGCACCATGTCACATGCCTGACTCAGGAGGCTGAGGCTGGAGGATCGCTGGGAGTTCGAGGCCAACCCAGGCAACAAAGTGAGCTCAAGGTCAGCCTGAACTGAGGCCTTGTGTCAAAAAGACAAAAATAAATAAATAAATAAATAAAAACCCTGCAGTCCTAAACCCCTAGTACTTCAGTATATGACCTTATTTGGAAATAGGGTCTCTATGGAAGTGATTAAATTGGAGGAAAGGTTTTTTTTTTTTTTTTTTTTTTCCTTTTTCAGTACCAGGGATCAAATTCCAGACTTTGTGTTTACCAGGCAGGCACTTGGAAGAAAGTATTTTTGTTTAAAGCAATAAAATATATATGTATGTATAGCCTTAGAATTTGAAAGATCTTTTATTTTTTTTATTTTTATTTTTTTTTAAATTTTTTTTTATTTGTGTGTGTGTGTGTGTGTGTGGCCAGCTCAGCCCACGGGGGGCAGGGCTGGCTGGCACCGGATTGAACCGCGGTCCCTGTGCTTTGTCAAGCTTGTTCTAAGTAGGTGCTTTAGACCGCTGAGCCATCTCACCAGCCCTGAAAGATCTTTTAAAACACCACACTAAAAGCAAAAGGCAGGAGGAAACAGATTAATAAAGCTGTATGAATGAACACTAAAAAGTCTAAATGGGCTGGATGTAGAGGTGCATTCTGGGGCCAGATGGAAGAAGGTGGAATGTTCAAGCCCAGCTTGGGCAATTTGGCAGTTTAAGGAAACCTCATCTCAAAAGGAAAGGAAAGGAAGGAAGGAAAGAAGGTAGGGCGGAAGAGCTGGGAAGGTAGTTCATTGCAATGGCAAGCACTTATTCTACTGAGCTATCTCCCCAGTCCTGAAACTTCTATATATTTTCTTTCTTTCTTTCTTTTTTTTTTTTTTTGCGGAACCGGGGATTGAACTCAGGCTCCTCCACAAGCGCTTATTCCACTGAGCCATCTCCCCAGCCTGGAAACTTCTACATAAATTTAAAAAGTTAAAATACAGGGCTGGCCAGATAGCTCAGCAGATTAAAGAGCCTGCTTAGGCAGACGCAGGAGTCAGAGGTTCGATCCTTGGCGTGCATGCCAGCCCTGTCCCTGGGGCACGGAGACAGAGATTGAGACTGGGCGTGGTTGTGCACACCTGTAATCCCAGACTCTGGGAGTCTGAACACAGTCGGATCACTACAAGTCGGATCTATGTGGTGAGACCCTGTATTAAACACACACACACACACACACACACACACACACACAAAGTTAAAATACAGAGTACAAACTAGGACCAGGAGTGTGGGGGGGTACGCTTGTGATCCCAGCACTGGGGAGACTAAGGCACAGGGATGCTGTTTAAGGCCAGCCTAAGCTACATAGTGACTGTCGGGGGGGAAAAAAAACCTAGGAGGAAACACATTCAATATATGGAGCTGACTAAGAATTAGAACTGGAATCCAAAAAGTACTCTTTTAAATTAATCACAATAAAAAGCATCTAACCCGTTAAAAAAATGGGCGAAGGATATGAGCAAGCAGCTCCTAAACACAAATATCCAAGACCAATAACCTCGCTCAAAGATGTCCTATTTCCTTCGTAATCAGAGAGCCGCGAGTTGGAACAGTGTGAGTCTACTCTCTCAGGAAATGACTAATACTAACTCATCCCCCCGGGCCCAGCTCCGATGTCCCTTCCTCCTGAAGGCCTTCCTGACGCCGGCCTGGGTCAGGCGTCCCCACCCACCCATCCCACTGCCCTGTGGGGTTCCCAGCCGAGCGCTGCCCACAGGGCTTGTCACTGTCCCTCCCACTGGACCGAAAGCCCCGAGTGTCATTAGCACAGCCTCGCACAGTACAAGGAATCGGGGGACGCCGAAGTCAGTGGAAGACAAACTCAGTTGTCCCCTTTGTAGTTTTATCTTCGGACACCTCTCTTCCACTGACCCCTGTCTGAAGCCAGGGAAAACTGGTGGCGTTGGAGAGGGCCCTAGAATCAAATCGCTTGGCATTTGAGACTCTCTAGCTTACAGACCCCATCTCTTTCTTCCCTCAACCTCCACAGTCCTCCATAACCATAGAGAGCAGCATAGGGCCAGCCCCTCTCTATGCTCTACCCAGTAGAGAGCAGCGAGGCGGGCCGTGAGCCAGAGAGGCCGGAAGTGGAGGGAATCCAGGGGCCGCGCTGGCCGCGGTGTAACGCCTTGATGCCCTCGCATTTTTTTCCCTCTCTGGGTCTGGGGTCTAGCCAGTGAGAGCAGGTAAGTTCTCACAGGGCTGGAGCCCAGAGGTATCAGCTAGAGGGGGCATAAGGTTAGAGACCACAATTTGTGATTGGCAGCCATGCAGGCCAATCAGTTTAGTGACCCACTTGGGAGGGCATCTAGGTGCGCGGTCTGGGGGCTGGGCCAGCGACAGGCTTGGGATAGCGGGGCGGAGCGAATAGGACCAGAGGCCCGCGAGGGGTGGGGCGAGCCTCCGGTGGGCGGGGCTTTAGGAACCGGGCGCTCCGGGTGCTAAGGCCTTAATACTAAGGACCGCTGAATTTTACTGCGGGGCCAAGTATGAGTGGGTTCCTGCGGGAAAAACGGATGCAGATACCGATGCCTCACGGGCTCCTGTCTGCATGTCTTCCCTCTCAGGCTCCACATGGACCCCGGGAAGGACGAGGAAGGGGCGCCGAAACCTGCAGGGCCACCTACGAGGAAGAAGTTTGTCATTCCACTGGACGAGGATGAAGTGCCTCCTTCGGGGGTAGGACGAGGCGAGGGGGATCGGGGACCGTTGGGAGACTGAGGACAGTGATGGAAGGAAGGGAGACAGGAAATGGCCTTTGGAGCACAGTTGGGTTAGACTTGGGGGCCTGAGTCACCTTGGGAAAACAGTCCTTTGTCCTCTATGGGTTAGTTTCCACAACAGTAAAATGACAGGGTGGTGCTGGGCATGGTGGGAAACACCTGCAATTCAAGCATTCAGGAGGCTAGGGTGAGGAGGATCGCCACGAGTTCAAGGCCAGCCTGGACTGCATAGAGAAACGCTGTCTCAAACAACTACAACCCTCCCACCCCCAAATGCACAACCAAACAAAACAAACCGAAACAGGGTGGTTCTAAGAGAGCGCTAAGACTGTGGCTGAAGACATGCCGCTAGCACATGAGCCTCCCCTCTTGTGTTTTTCTGTACTGGGGATTGAACCCAGGGCTTTTGCACTGAGTTACATCCCCAGCCCCTTTTTATTTTTAATTTGGGGACAGGGTGCTACAGTGTGTCTTTTTTTTTTTGCCAGAGGAAAACCATACATTTATTTTTTTTTCTTTTTATTTTCCCATAATTTTATTGATAAACAAATAGCAATGGGACAGTTTCAGATCAAATTGGTAGGACAGTTTCAATAATTCACACATTGCATACATTCTTCCTAGTGTACAGTGTCTTATATGGCCAGAACTTTGGTCTTTCTTTCTTTCTTTTTTTTTGACCTTTTTTGAGACAGGGTCTCATTATGCAGTTCAGGCTGGCCTTGAGCTCAGGCTGGTCTCAAACTCACAACAGTCCTTCTGTCTCAGCCTCCCAAGTGCTAGGGTTACAGGCATGAGCCATCAGGCCGGCAGCACCTTGATTTTTCAATATAAATTTATGGCTGATGTGTAAGAATTTGAAGATTTTGCAATTACAGCAGAAAGCAAGCAAGCACTTGCAGACAAGCTGCACTTTGTTATGTTTTGGTAATTTTCTTTAGACAGGGTTACCCTGTGTACCTATGCCTCACAGGCTTCTGTCTTCATATGTCTTCCCTCTTAGGCCTCACAAGATCAGTGAAGGTTGGCCTTGAACTTGCTTAATTAGTCCAGGCTGCCCTGAACTCACAGCAATCCTCCTGTTTCAGCCTCAGGAGTGAGAATTACAGGCATGTGCCACCAGGCCTGACACTTTTGGTAAATTGAAAGCTCTCACAACACTGAAATCTTCCTACAATCTTTCTCAGTATTGACCACCTTTGTGTTTATGCAAAGAAAGAAAGGGGCAAAGGATATAGGATATGCTGAGGGAGGAGTCCCTGAGATAGGAAGGTCAAAGAGGTGACCTCTTGGCGGGGGCACAAAAGAGGTGAGGGGGTGGCAGTACGAACACTTGGAGGTGCTGGAATGGCCAGTGCAAAGGCCCTGAAATCAGAGGGAACCTGCAAGGTTTGAGGGCAAAGATGTGGTCAGTAGGGCTGGAGTAGAGAAAGTAAGGGCGAGTGGTAGGAAATGAGGTCCCTTACTTGGCTAGGAGGCGCTGCAGACTTTACCTCTTGTGGGACATGTGACAGCTTTGTCTTTAACTCAGAGACAGGAGTCGCTCATGGCATCTGGGCAGAGGGGGGCAGGATGACTTCATGTAGAGAACATACTTGTCAAGCATGCAGGTGACTTCAGTGGCTCAAGGGAGAGACAATGGTGGCTGGAGGCAGGATGATTTTTTTGAGTCAGGGTCTTGCTAAATTCCTCAGGCAGGCGTTGAACTTTTGATCCTCCTGCCTCAGCCTGCTGAGTAATCTGGAAGATTACTGCTATTGGGTACCATCTTAAGCTTGGATTTAGATTTTGAGGTCCCAGGTGGTAAGGAGCAAAGGAGGAAGAAAGCACATTGGGAGAAAGCAGGTTGGTGCAATCCAAGGAGGGGAGGGACACATAGGACCTCACACATTCCCTCCCCAGCCCCCTAAGCTCTCGTTTCTCCCCATAGGCCAAGCCCTTATTCAAATCCACACGAAGCCTTCCTACAGTGGAGACCTCGGAGACCTCAGCCCAGGGGGCTCCGCAGACCTATGCCGAGTATGCCATCTCCCGGCCTGCAGGAGGGGCAGCAGCCACGTGCCCAGCGGGGTCAGAACCCTTGGCAGGAGAGACTCCCAACCAGGCCCTGAAGCCTGGGGCCAAATCCAACAGCATCATCGTGAGCCCCCGACAGGTGAGGGGGGAGATGGGATGGAGTGTTGAAGTTTTGGGAGCCCTGTTACTCGGGTGGCTGTGGGCAGGGGAAGGAGGTCTGAGCTTAGCCACTTGGCCCTCAGCGGGGCCAGGCAGCCATTCACTCAGCATATCTGCTTTCATTTATTTATTTATTTATTTATTTATTTTTACTTTTTATTTATTTATTTATGTGTGTGTGTGTGTGGCCAGCTCAGCCCACCAGGGGGCGGGGCTGGCTGGCATGTGGTGCTGGAGGATTGAACTGCGGTCCCTGTGCTTTGCTAAGCTTGTTCTAAGTAGGTGCTTTAGACCACTGAGCCATCTCACCAGCCCCATCTGCTTTCATTTATTTAACAACTTGGGGTGGGTCAAAGGTGCCCCAGCAATTTTTGTAGGGGCTGTGACTGTTTTGTGCAACTCTTTTCTAGTCCTCAGGTTTGTTCATTAATTTTTTTTTTAATTTTAATTTTTTTTTTCTGCAAAGCTTTATTCCAGAGAGGCTTAGCCTCAGCAGCTGCCTCCCTCATGGCGGCCAGCACAATTCTCAGCTCCTTGCGCTTCCTCTTGGCGCAGATGTGCGTCCCCACCCTTTTCTTGATGAACTCAGGGGTGCATTCGTCCGTGGAGACCTTAAGCAGCTCCCTGGCGTGCTGCTCGTAGGGGGTGAAGCCACACACCTCCTGGATCATGTCCCTCACGAACTTGGTGAGGCGTCCATGACGGCGGCTGTGCCACAGTTTGCTCACATTCTTAGTCACCTTATGGCCCTTGTTGAGGTCTATGGCCATGGGCTAGCGGAGGGCCATGGCTACTGTTCTTCAGTGGTTGCTGTGGCGAAAGTCTGGCCCTTTATTTTTTTTTAAATTTATTTATTTGTGTGTGTGTGTGTGTGTGTGTGTGTGTGTGGCCAGCTCAGCCCACCAGGGGGCGGGGCTGGCCGGCATGTGGTGCTGGGGGATTGAACTGCAGTCCCTGTGCTTTGCCAAGCCTGTTTCAAGTAGGTGCTTTAGACCACTGAGCCATCTCATCAGCCCCAGGCTGGTCATTTATTAAAAGTGTAATAAATGAACAGGGCTGTGAATCTGAACCCCTGCTCTGTTGTGCAATAGCTGTGTGATTTTGGATGAGTGACTTAACCCACCCATGCCACTTAGTTCTTTTTCAATTCTGGTGCTGGAGATGGAGCTGGGGCCTCACACCTGTTAGGCAAATACTCTGACACTGAGCTGTATGCCCAGCCCTTTTCTGTTTTTTTTTTTTTTTTCACGGTACTGGGGCTTGAACTCAGGACCTTGCGCTTGCCAGGCAAGCACTTATTCTACTGAGCCATCTCCTCAGCTCTCCTTTTCTGTTTTGAGGCAGGCTCTCACCATGTTACCCATCATCTTGAAATTGTGACCCTCCTGCTTCAGCCTCCTGGGTAGTTGTGATCACCACTATCCGTTGTTTGTCTTTTTTATTTTGGCATCCTAATCGGTGAAGTGGACAAAACCTTTAAAACTTGAAGTTGGAGCCAAGCAGAGTGGTGCATACCTAAACCCAGCTACCTGGGAGGCTGAGGACCAAAAGTTCAAGGCCAGCCTGGGTAATTTAGCAACTCTGTCAGAAAATAAAAAGGGCAGCCAGGCATGGTAATGCATGTCTGTAATCATAGCTCTGTGGACATGGATCCAAAGGCTGAAGCAGGAGATTTGCAAGTTCAAACCAGCCTGGGCAGCTATGTGAGACCTTCTCTTAAAAAAATGAAGGGCTGAGGGCATTTGCTTAGCTTAGGAGAAGCCCTGGGTTCTGTACCCAACACCCTAGACTAGCCAGCCCAGTATTTTCTCCTGTACTTGAGTTCCATTCAGCACTTATGCCACCAGCCATGCCTGCCACAGAGCCACACAGCTCAGCAGTGACACCAGCTGGGTGTTCTTTGGCTCAGTGCAGCTGGGTCCCATCCCCTTGGGGCTGTATCAGATCCCACGCCAGGAGGGCTCAGTCGCCAAGTCTGCCTCCACCTGCCCCAGCGTATAATGTGGGTTCCAAGGACCTCCTCTGCAGATTAGATTGATTTATCAGAGGGGCTCACAGAACTGAGAAACACTTCTGTTTACAGGGTTGTTAATAAAGAACAGAAGGGGCTAGGGAGATAGCTCAGTGGTCTAAGCGCCTTCCTGGCAAGTGCAAGGACCTAGGTTTGATTCCTGATACCGCATGCTGTGCCAGCCACATAACAAGAACCTATAACAAATAATTTTAATAAATTAAATAAAGAACAGAAGCCAGATGTGATGGTGCGCACCTGTAATTCTAGCACCCTGGGAGGCTGGCAGGAGGGTTATGATGGGCTGGGGAGATGCTCAGTGGAATAAGCGCTTCCTTGGCAAGCACAAGGGCCTGAGTTCAATCCCTGGTTCCACAAAAAAAAAAAAAAAAAAAAAAAAAAAAAGCGTAAGGAGGGTTATGAGGTTAGGTTCAGCCTGGGCAACTTAGTGACCTGAAGAGATGCTGACTCAAAATAAAAAATGAAACAATATATGATGTATTAATTATTGTAACCATCCTTCTAACCTGTTTTGAAATTGTTTTCTTTTTTTTTAAACAAAGTCCTTAGGTGTAATCAATCTTTATTTATTTATTTGTGTGTGTGTGTGTGTGTGTGTGTGTGTGTGGCCAGCTCAGCCCACCAGGGGGCGGGGCTGGCTGGCATGTGGTGCTGGGGGATTGAACCGCGGTCCCTGTGCTTTGCCAAGCTTGTTCCAAGTAGGGGCTTTAGACCACTGAGCCATCTCACCAGCCCTTGAAATTGTTTTCATTGCTATTTTATCTTAAAATGAATAAAAGCCTTTAAAAATAAATAAATAAATAAGTAAAAATAAAAAATGAAAAAGGCTGTAGCTGTAGCTCAGTGTGAAGTCCTGGGGTTCAATCCCCAGTCCCACAAAAAAATTAATACATAAAGGCTAGAATCAAGGATGTGGATGAGGGGGCTGGGGAGATGGGTCAATAGAATAAGCACCTGCGGGGCAAGCACAGGTCCTGAGTTCAATCCCCGGTTAGGATGTGGATGAGGTTCAATGAAGTCACACACCACGGGGACAGAGACAGGTGTGGAGCGTCCCTGACCTCTAAGCAGCGCCTCCCCCATTTGCTCAGCTGACCAGAAGCTGGCAAGACCCTGGCCCCTTGGCTTTTGATGGAGGCTTCATTACATTGGAAGAATGATTCCATCATTGGCCACTAGTGATCCCCTTAGCCTTTGGCCCTCTTGTCCAGTCCCCTGGTTATTCCCTGGCTGCCAGCCTTTTTCTTTTTTTCATTTATGTTTGGAACAAGGTCTCACTATGCAGCTCAGACTCGTAGTGCTCCTCCTGATTTTAGCCTCCCTAGCACTGGAATTATAGGTATGTGCTACCACACCTAGACTGTCACTGGCTGGTTCAGCACAACCCAGGGGCAGGGCTGGCATGGCCTGTGGGCCCGGGGATTAAACCCTGGTCCCTGCGCTTGTCAAAGCAGGCGCGTAGTCCGCTGAGCTATCTCGTCAGCTCTCACCAGCCTCATTCTGAGCCCTTTCAGGAGCCACCAGGAGTCGCCTCAGGAGAACAGGAGATGGCCTTTGCCCAGAATTCCAAAGGTCTTAGGAGCTGTGTCAGGAAACCACTCCCAGACCAAACATCAGAACAAAAGTCTCCCTGTGTCCTGTCTCCAAGGAATTTGGGGTCAGGAATTGGGGCAAAGACTACATTTACATTTTTTACTTTATCACAGTACCACAGGAGGGTGAGTGTTCCCCGGAGGGTAGGAAGTTTGGTCCATCCTGGTCACTGTATCCCTTCCTACCCCCTAAGACACACAGTAAGTGCCCTATAAATTCTCACTGGATGGGTTATAGCTGGACTTGCTCAAGAATTCCAGACTTGGCTAATACATAATGAGTTCAGGGCAGAACATGAGGGGAAATTCAGAGAGGGCCTGCAGAGCTGAGGCCAGCCCATGTAGGTCAAAGGGCAGAGACAGCATTGGGGCAGAAAGCCAGGAGGAGGTGGGGGGAGTGGGGAGCAGCTGTGACTGAGAGAGGGATGTGAAGGAGGCAGAAGATTCATGTGAGGAGCTGAGAAGTTGGAGCAGGCCAGAGACCAGGTGGGCGGACAATGAGGGGGTGGGAAGGGAGAGGGTTGTGCTGTCTGCCACAAGCCAAAGGGCATCCCTGAGGGTGGCTGCTGCCTTTCCTTCCTCTCCAGAGGGGCAACCCTGTGCTGAAGTTTGTGCGCAATGTGCCCTGGGAGTTTGGAGAAGTGATCCCTGACTACGTGTTGGGCCAGAGCACCTGTGCCCTCTTCCTCAGGTAAGCTTAGGCTGCTGCCTTTGGGAAGTGTGACCAGGCCTGAGATTACAGTCCTGCTTCCTGGGCCTCTCTGGGTGAACTCTGTGCTTGGCCAGGCTGGCGCTGACACTACATATAACTGGCTGGCTGTTGGGAAGGGTCTTGGCCTGGAAGTGCCTGGAACAAGAGGAGGCTGGGCCTGGACCCTGAGTCTGAGGGAGGAGGCTGCCTGGACCCCAGGTCTGAGGGAGGAGTTGGGCCTGGATTCTGTGGTCTGACAGAGGTGGGTAGGCTATTCCAGGTATTCCTGAGTTGACAAGAACAGGATTTCTCTGACCCCTACATCTCCAGCCCTGTACCTGTCCGTCCCATCCTCCCCCTCTCCTCAGCTCCTCTGCAGACAGAGGAAGAAAAACTTCAAGCAGTTGCAGGCAACTGCTTCCCAGGCCCAGGTTGTAGCCTCCCTGTCCACACACCGTAAGGCCCTGGCCCTGTGGCCCACCCCACAAGCTCAAGCCTCTTTCATCCTTAAGAGAGGAAACCAAGGCCTCAGGCTGCCTGAGCACACAGGCAGGCTACATCCCTGCTGGGGCCTTGCCTTAGGGTGCCCTTGGGCAAGCAGTTTAGCCTCCAAGGGCTTCAGACCTGAGGCTGTCACCGCCCATGCTGTGCTCCAACTGTGGCATCTGGGGAACCCACCCTGCTGTGGCCACAGGGGCTCCTGAGGCCTCTGGAACACTCAGATACCAGCCCACTCTCCCTGTCCCGCCAGCCTCCGCTACCACAACCTGCACCCCAACTACATCCATGAGCGGCTGCAGAGCCTGGGGAAGAACTTTGCCCTGCGTATCCTGCTGGTCCAGGTGGACGTGGTAAGTGGCTGTTCCCTGCTCTTCCTACCTGGGAAATGGGTGTTGAGCCCCTTTCAGGAAGTGCATGGGAAAACCTCGGTGAGGGACCAATTTCCATCTCTGATACTGTCCAAGGGCACAGTCTAAGACTGTGTTGACAACGAGGTGGGACAGTAACGGTGTCTCCTTCTCTACACCCACTTCTAACAGGCCCAGCCTGATGCCACCTAAATGTCTTTTTGAGACAGAATTTCACTATGTAATTCAGGCTGGCCTTGAACTCACATTGTAGTCCAGTTGGCCTTGAACTCTGGGATCTGCCTGCCTCAGCCTCTTGAGTGCTGGGATTACAGGTGTACCTCCATGCCCAACTTTAAATATGCCACCCAGCATGGTGGTGCAATCCTGTAATCCCAGCACTTGGAGGCTAAGGCAGGAAGAGCCTTTCCAGTTCAAGACCAGCCTACGCCACAAAGTGAGCTCAAGGCCAGCCTGAACTTCATAGTGAGACCCTTTCTCAAAAGAAAAAAAAAACAAAACCGCATGTTGGTTGGTTTCATCCTCCATCCCCAGGGCCACTACACCAGTCAAGGTGCCCTCCTTCCTGGGCAGGTGGCCCTCACTGGCCAGGCATGGCCCTTCAGTGCATCCAGCAGCCAGAGGGCTCTTTCTGAAGGATAGATCTGACGTCAGCATTCTCTTGCTCAAAGCCCTCTTGGGGCTCGCTAGACTCCCAGGAGTCAGTTCTCCCACTGGCATAGCCTGGGGCCCTCTCTGACCTGCCACCCAGCCCTCCAGGCCCATCATTTACCTCGCCCTGCACCCCACACCCGTCTTCCCCTCAAAGCTGGCGCTCTGAAATGCGTTTCTGTTCTCTGCTCCCTTCCATCCTGCTGTCAGCTCAGAAGTCCCCCACCATCCCGGAAGCCCTCTGAGTCCCCAGGAGACTGAGGCACCCCTCTGCTTTCCCCTTTGGCTCCCCCTGGGTAACCTGGCTCTTCCAGTCATCATTGGGGATGGGGGCCTCCCCCCAGGAGCTTGAGCCCAAAAGGGCAGAGCCAGGGTGGTCTGGGTCACCATGGGGTCCTGACATGGCCCTGTGTAAGCCAGGCACCCTGGGGAAGCGGAGGGGTGTCCCTGAGTGAAAGGTTCCTGTCAGTCCCAGCAAACTGTGCTGTTTCCAAACTCTGAGTGCTTGGCCTTTCTCAGCTCTCTTAATTCTGATTCTCTTTTTTTCTTCCTCCAGAAAGACCCTCAGCAGGCCCTCAAGGAGCTGGCTAAGATGTGCATCCTGGCCGACTGCACGCTGATCCTTGCTTGGAGGTGAGAGTAAGGCTCCTCCCCCAGTTCAGGCTCTGTCCAGAACCCCCACCTCCTAGTGCCACTGTGAACTCCCTCCCTATGAGCCTGCTGTCTCAGTCCTCACCTGTCACATGGCCCTTGGATCACTTGTGGGGTCACAGGCACAATGCCTGGTGTGATGGTGCCCACCTGTAATCCCAGCACTCAGCTACATAGTGAGTTAAAGCCCACAACAAATACTGGAACTACACAGTGAGACCCTGTCTCAAAAAACCAAAATCAACCAAACAAAACACTCAAACAGAAAGTATTAGAAGCCTGAAATGGTGGTGTGTACCTGTAAATCCCAGAAGTCTGAATGGCTGAGGCAGGAGGATCACAAATTTAAGCCTAGCGGGACAATTTAGCAACTTAGTAAGACCCTTTAAAAAATGAACTAAGGTGGGCCAGGGAGATAGCTCAGTAGAATAAGCGCTTGCCTGGCAAGTGTAAGGGCCTCAGTTCAAACCCCAGTTCCGCAAACAAAAACAAACAAAAAAAAAGAACTGCAGGCCAGCCAAATAGCTCAGCAGACTAAAGCACCTATAAGCAGGTGTAGGGGCTGGGGGTTCGATCCCTGCCCCTGGGGCAGCTAAACACTGAAGAAAAAAAAAAAAAAAAAAAAAAAAAAACCCAAAAAACAAACCAGCAGTTGAAATTGGGGGCCTGTAATCTCAGCTCTTGGGAGTTTGTAAACAGGCCGATCACTGTGAGTCAGATCTAGTAGTAAGACACTGAACGCCCTATAACCCTTCCTTAAAAATACAAAAAAGAAAAAAAATGTGCCAGGGAGATGGCTTAGTAGAATAAGTGCTTGCCTGGAAAGTGCAAGGGCCTGAGTTTAATCCCCAATTCCACAAAAAACCAACCAAACAAACAAACAAAAAAAAATGGCAATTGAAACTGGGTGTGGTGGTGCGCGCCTGTCATCCCAGCTCTTGGGAGGCTGTAAACAGGCGGATCACTATGAGTACGATCTAGTAGTGAGACCCTGAGCACCCTGTAGACCCTTCCCTAAAAATAAAAATAATAATAAAATAATAATAATAATAATTAATTGTGCTCTACAAGGACTTTTTTCTTTTTTAGGAAACCAGGGATTGAACTCAGGCCCTTGTACTTGCCAGGCAAGCGCTTATTCTACTGAGCTGTCTCCCTGGCCTCCTTTTTCTTTTTTCGACGGGTCTTGCTACACAGCTCAGGTTGGCCTTGAGCTCACTTTGTACTTGCAACAATCCTCTTTCCTTAGCCTCCCAAGTCCTGGGATTCTGAGATTATAGGCTGTGCCACTATGCCGGGCTGGCCTTTTCTTTTTTTCTTTTTTTTTGGAGGAACCGGGGATTGAACTCGGACCCTTGCACTTGCCAGGAAAGTACTGAGCCATCTCCCCAGCCCCTGACCTTTTCTTTTTCTACTCAGATTTTATTGGTACATTTTAGGTATACATAATGAGCACATTCATCATAGAGAATTTGAATATGTATATAACTTAAGAACTTTTTTTAAAAAATAAGGCTGGCTTGATCCCCAGTGTGCTCTCCCAGCCCCATCTGTGGGGTGTGCTGAGACTGCCACGGAGACTGGGTGTGGTGGCGCGCACCTGTAATCCCAGCACTTGGAAGGCTGAGAATAGGAGAATCACTGTGAGTCCGATCTACGTGGTGACACCCTGTAGCCCCTGTCCTAGATATAGAAAAAATAAAAGATAAAAATAAGGCCGGGGCCTGATATGTTCTGGCCCTAGTATGAACTGCTAAATCATCATGGTGGTCATCTAATATGGCTGAAACCCGTAACACAAAAGCCCATCTTCCCCTAGACCACCTCCTCTCTTCTCCAGCTCAGTCCAGGGTACAGTTTCCTTTCACCCTTCCCACTGCCTCAGGAAGGCCCCAATCAGCTCCTCAGGTATATCTAAACATCCCCTTCAAACTTCACCCCTGGCAAAACACCATAAAAGCTTCAGCCTCCCTTTGTTCCAATCTGTCCTCAAAGATAATAAAGCCCCTTTCCCGTTTTCCTTCTGCCCGTTTCTCTGCTGCATCAGGCTCCTGAAAAAAACCTATCAGGGACATAGCTCACTAAGGCCTTGGGTTCAATTCCCAGTACTGGGGGAGAAAAAAAGGTAGAAGAAATCTTATTAAGCCATTTTTTATAATCCTGAGGTAGGAAAAAAAAATGTTTTTAAAAATATT